CTCCAAAGACAGATGAAGAGCGAGCATACATGGCAAAAGTCTCGTATGCTAATGCAGTTGGTAGCTTGATGTATGCAATGGTGTGTACGAGACCCGACGTTTCACAGGCAGTTAGTGTGGTAAGCAGGTTTATGCATGATCCGGGTAAGGGTCATTGGCAAGCTGTGAAATGGATTCTACGGTATATCCAAAATACCGTAGATGTTGGATTAGTATTCGAGCAGGATAAATCACTTGGTCAATGTGTAGTTGGATATTGTGATTCTGACTATGCAGGTGACTTGGATAAGCGACGTTCTACAACTGGCTACTTGTTCACGTTTACTAAGGCGCCAGTTAGTTGGAAGTCTACTTTGCAGTCAACGGTGGCTTTGTCTACAACGGAGACAGAGTATATGGCGATTACAGAAGCTGTGAAGGAGGCAATTTGGCTTCAAGGATTGCTTGAAGACTTGGGAGTTGGTCAAAAACACATTGACGTGTTTTGTGACAGTCAGAGTGCTATTCATTTAGCGAAGAACCAGGTCTTTCACGCAAGAACGAAGCACATTGATGTTCGCTATCACTTTGTGCGGGAAATTCTCGAAGAAGAGGAAAATTTTCTCCAGAAAATTCGGACTACGGAGAATCCTGCAGATATGCTGACCAAGGTGGTTACAAGGTCCAAGTTTGAACATTGTTTAAACTTGGTTAACATCCTGCACGTTTGAGTTGGCGCCTGAGGGCGGAAAATTTGGAAGTACCGCAAGGACCGTTTGTTATTTTTTTTTGGGTGGAACTAAAAATTATGCCAAGGTGGAGATTTGTTGAATTCAAAACCTTGAATTCAAAGCCTCAATTGTTTACTTTTACAAGCCAACAATTGTTGAAATTGGTGGCTTAATTCTTAATCCCACATCGGTTGTTTTAGTCTCAAGCCTTCAAATTAAATTGTACCAAGAACAACAAAGAATTACCCATAAGGATTTTGTAATTCTTTGTATTCTTTCTTCTCTCCTAAATTATAAAAGCAGGTCGCTTGAGCGGTGCTTGGAGATTATGCAAAATTGGCCGAACTCCGTTATCAATTTTTCGGGTGCGTTCTTTCCATATCTCTTTTATTTATTCTGCATTTATTTAGTAGTTTCTTTTCTGTAGTAGTATAGTATTCAATATATTTGTCGGGTTTATTTGTAGTGTTTTATACGATTCATTTGGGTGTATTTATTCTTATTCGTGTGTACGTATTATTTATGTATACACAGGTATACTTGTGATAATACATCGTGCACGTAAGTTCTGTCTAGGAGACTGGATTTTAAGTGGGACCGCTTGTGACCCCTCCAGCCTTTCCTGGGAATTTATTTGGAATGGTAATTCTGTCTAAGGAGATTGCTTCGACGATCTTTCCTGGGAATTACTGAATCGGTTTAATCACTAGTTGTATTTTTTGAGTGGAAAATTACCCGGTTTCCCCAACAGAGTCCTCCTTCTCCTCCTCCTTTTCCACCTCCTCCTTCCAATTCTACTAGTAGTGACGGTAAGTTCCACTTCTTACTAAAATGATATGAATTTATCTGAACTCTTAATTGCAAATTTATTTTAGGATTAGTTAGTAATTCAAGTCTTTCACACTTGTAGCTATTGAGCCACACCTGGTAGTCAACAACAACACTCATCAAGTTCTCATGTGGATTGTATAGATTTCATTAATTTTTTGCAGCCAATTGCTCGCTTAATGAGGCAGTGGAAGTAGAAATCCTGAATCTTTTTCTCTAGATATAACTATGAAAACCACAAAAATCTCCATTGGTCAGTTATTTTGACAGAATTCAGTATGGGAATTTAAACTGTCTTATTTGTTAAAGATTTTAAAAGAATAAATGGATTTGAACATTTCACTTGTCAAATCCTTGCCTACTTTACTTTAAAAGTAGATTTTTAAGCTAAAGAACTTTTTATCAATTTATCCAGAGGGGGGCAGAATCTCAACACATACAATTGTTGCAATTGTTGTCCCAATCTCCGTTGCCATTGTGCTATTGGTCGTGGGCTTCTGCATAGCAAGAAGATCCAAGAAGACACATGGTGCCATTATCCAAACAACCGGTAAATTATAAGGACTAAGAAGTGCAGTTGCAGTAAACACACTTATCATTCTTAAAGGGTCGACTCATTTAATTTTCGCTAAGCTTGTACCATTTTTTGCTGCAGGTGCAAGTGCAATCTCAACCGCAGAATCGTTACAATATAACCTCTGTGATATTCAAGCCGCCACAAACAACTTTGCCATTGGAAACAGAATTGGTGGAGGTGGATTTGGTCCTGTATACAAGGTACATCAGATTTAGGACTTCATCAATCATTAGCCCTAGGTTTTACTAGATTCATTTCTGATCAAGAATAAAATAAACGACCAAGGCTTCGTCAATCATTAGCGCTTGGTTTTGGCAAGCTCATATCACATTTCAAACTTTAACAAAGTAAGCATAGGTCCTCCAAACAATTCCAGCAATTTAAATTCATCAAGCTTTGGCACTTTTATAAATTCATTCACATGGCCAAGGCTTCATAAATCATTAGCCCTTAGCGTCAAACAATTCGTTTTATCATTGCAATAAAGCCAAAACTTCGAACGTTTAGAATAACTGAGAGGTATATGAATGTAAGGCAAGATTTGCAGCCATGTTTTGTCCAAGATCTCAACCAAAATCTCATTCTTGTAACCATGATAGAATTCAAGTTGTCACCCCAAAAATTCACATGTACGGCCCTCTCCAAATGCCCGGGAGTGAGGTCAATAAGCATGAAACATTTTCCAGCTCAAAACAGCATTTTTAGAACTAAAATTTGCCAAAAGAAATCTGGAAAATTCGTTTACTATCTCTATCAACTCGCTTGAAAATTTTCCAGGTCTACACCTCAACATTTTTGCTTGAATCCCCCAAAATATCCAATGTTTCATAGCTAAGTACTCACACAGCTTAAGTTACACATCTCTCATGCATTTCTAAACCATTATATTCCAAGGAAAAATAAAATAAAAATTCCAGAAACCAATTGGAATTTCCAGTTCAACCTTGCGCCTTCCAAAATTTTCCAGCAACTAATATACTTTAGATCAAATTTTCCCTTGGTTTAAACATGGTGTTAGGTACTCAAATTCAGCATGTGAACACTTAGCTAGCTATTAAAGATTTCCACTTCAAAACCGGATTCACACAGCAACTAAAATCGTCCAGGAAAAAAAATCCAGAAATCAGTCCAATTAATCTCGGAGGTCCATGCATGTAGCAGATTCAGTTTTCATTTTATTATTATTATTATTATTTTTCTTTTCTTTTCTGGTTTGAACCGATTAATTAACTACATGCAGGGCTTAATTATCTTGTTATTGACTAGCTAATTATGGTTATAAGCTCAAAACAACAAAATTAAACCAAATCAAGCTGCATTAATCAAGTTAAGCTCTCGGCAGTCTCAAACTTGCGCACATCAGTTTTCTTCTTTTCTTAATTACACATCCGGCTGCCTAAAATCACATGCATGTTCCTAGATGACTTAACCTTCTTGTTTTTAATTGGTTAAACATTTAATTGAGCTCAGATTGTCGCAGGGAATCAGAAATAAAGCTACATTTCCAAACCAGTTCCTCGGCAAAAACATTTTCATCAAAACAGAATTTTCTAGTGTCTTGAATTCATCAACCGATTGCACAAGCAACACATGCAGGCTCTGATATGTCTTTATCTATTAGTAATTAACCTAATATAGCCCAGCAATTACCTCAGATACAAGCTAAGCCTACGCACAAGAAGTCTGGAATTTCTTTCTTCCTCTCGGCTCTCACGCACGGCTTGGAGGGTTGGTTGCGGTTGCAGTGGTTGCGGCTGAGAACTGGTTGCAGCTGGTGGAGATGGAGGTGCAGAATGGTGATGCTCACTCACGGTTTTCTCCCTGGTTTCACTCCAGCTCACGGCAGAACCAGAAAATTTTGCAGCTCACGGCTTCTTCCCTCGGTTCCTCTTTGTCGATGATAACGAGGCAAAGAGGAAATATGGTTGTGGAGAGGAAGTGTTGTGGCTGTGGTCTGGATGGTTTTGTGCAGAGAAGGTGAAGTGATGGTGCTCGGTTGAGTGTGTAGGTGGTGAAGGTGAGCATTGGCCGAATAAGGAGGTGGCCAATGGTGTTTGTCCGAAATCTGTTTTGGGTTGCATGATAATTTGCGAAATAGTTCAAGGGTAGTTTAGTATTTTCACTCTTCCTTCTAATGAACACTTGAATCTTTGATTCTAATTTAATCCCAAAAGTTTATTCCGAGTGTAACTTAACCTCCTAATGATGCACTACTCTCACAAGGTTTCAATTATCGAAATTTTACGTCATACACGAATCTAGTATACTTGTAGTATTTTTGGCTAAAATTTTCCGATTGCATCATAATACTAAGGTTTCTGTGCACACCTAATCTTATTCAGAAATAAAATTAGTTATTGAAAATTAAGGAATTTATTTTTGAGGAGAAAACTTAATGTAACTCAAGAATTATTAATTTAGTGTAGCTAATCTAAGGACTTTAATGATTTAGCACCGTTATATTATTATTTTTTATTTACTTATTTAAGGCAAATGAAAGGATGCTAAAGTTTATGAAGGATTAAGAACTACAAATGGAATATGCACTAATATATAGAAGCGAGTGGAAGTAAAATAAGAAAAGATTAAGGAATACGAGTGCTAGATAAAATGAAATTGAGGTTCGCATTAGTATTTCTGCAAAATTCAAGGTTCTCACAGTTAGCTGCTGCTGGATAGAGGATGTCTCTAGCTCATTCACCTTGCGTATCGGGACATCCTCCCTCGTACTAAATTGCTGCGAATTCTCCGCCATTCCTTCAATTAGCTCTCACGTTGCTCGAGGGATCTTGTTCACCAGTACCCCTCCACTCGCAGCATCATTTATACTCCTATCTCTGAAAAGTAGCCCCTCGTAAAAACATTGGATGAGTAATTGCTCACTTATTTGGTGATGGGGGCACTTGATGCATAATTTCTTAAACTGCTCCCAGTAGTCATAATGTGACTCCCCTGGGTGCTGCTTGATACCACAGATCTCCTTTCTTAGACTTGTAGCTCGAGACGCCGGTAAGTATTTGTCCAAGAATGTTTTATTTAGTTGGTCCCACGTGGTGATACTACCTAGTGACAGGTAATACAACCAGTCTTTTGCAGAGTCCTTCAAGGAGAAGGGGAATGCCCTCATTTTTATTTGCTCTTCTGTAATATCTGGGAGCTTCATGCTATTGCAAATGACGTCAAACTCTTGCAGGTGCTTGTAAGGCTCCTCCCCTGGTAAACCATGAAAAAAGGCTGCTGAGTTAAATCAGGAGCAGCCAACTCCCTCAATATTCGTGCATTAGCCATAGCGATTTCCTCTTGATCAGAGTCACTCGAAGTGTCACCAAACGACTCTGTTGGTTCAACTTCTGGCTCAGCTCGCTGAGATGCAGCACTGGAGTGCTCTTCTCTTAGTTGTCTGGTTTCTTTTCTTGTTCTACGCGTAGTCTTCTCTACCTCAGGGTCAAAATGCAATTCACATGTACGAGAAGAACGAGGCATACACTAGAAAAAATATCAAAAAATTAGAGCAAAAATAAACTTAAAAAGAAACAAATAATAACGCCAGTCCCCGGCAACGGCGCCAAAAATTGACAGGTTGTCGAAGCCTGTACAATAATAAAAATAAACTTAATTGCCAGTTAAAATAACCAAAACCCGATTCCAAGTACTAGAGCAGGGACTCTAAGTGTGCAATGGGTTACTTGATTCACCCTGTTCCCGAAAAGTTTACTTGATCCGATATACTCGAATGGGATGGCTTTTTTTCACAAATAATTATGAATGTGTAGACAGGGCAAGTAGGGTCGTATCCTCATTGATTGAGGATATTTGTCTCTTAAGAAGTCCAAAGTAACACAGGGGGTGATTTTGTAGAAACGATGACAATCAAAACAATTCAACTAAAAATATAAAGATAAATAACTAGCTAGAAATTAAGCGACAATTCACTGAACTGAGAGTAACAATAATTAAAGATCCAAAATAATTATTGTAGACACCAAAATTTTAGTGTAATTTCATTTACTATTTGGTTTCTATTTGTCGTGTTAGTTTTATTCACTTTTTAGTTTTTAGTTTTTTTAGTTTTTATTTTATTATTTTTATTTGTGAGGTTTTAGCATAGAATTTCTCGAAAAAGAAAAAAAAGAGAAAAAAAAAGAAGAAAAAAGGAAAGCATTCAAAAAATATGATTTAGTTGTTTTCTTGGGAAAAGAGAAAAATGATGAAAATGAAAAATGATTTAAATTGTGTTAAATGATTTACTTAAATTGTTGCTTTTGTTACTTATTTTTATTATTATTATCAATTTTGTTAAATTATTGAAAAAAAAATATAAAAATAGAAAAATAGCCGCACATGCATGCGGCACCAAAATTTTTCACAGGAGGGCTGGAGGATTCTGGGCTCAATGGATCGGATGGCTGTGGGAAAGAGTAGAGCAAACCTTTCATCCTCACCATTGGGGTGAGGGTTTAGGAGCCTTGGGGTTTCATATAAAAGAAAAGAAAGTAACCGCATCCAAGAAGGAAGGATTGAAGGTTGACGGCTAGAGAGAAAATCAGGGAAAGAGAGAAACCAGGGAGAAAGGGACTCGCGGCTAGGTTTTTTGGGGGGAAGCTGAAGTAGGACAGAGAGGTTGACGGCTGAGAGGGGGCTGGGAGTTTAGCTGAAAGAAAAAGGGGAGCGAGAAAAAACCAGAGGAGAGAATAGCGTAAGAAAAGACCAAGAGGAAAGGGAAGATTCTGAGGGGGAGAGGAGAAAAGCGAAAGGCCAAGCGAGACTGAATGAGAGAGAGCTAACGGCTGAGGGGTCTAGGAAGAGCCTGGGCAGCAAGGAAGGGAGAAAGGGTTTTTGGTTCATCGGAGCAAGAAGAAAGGATCAGGAGAAGTGGCTGCGGGAGAGAAGGAGAACAAAGACTTCATCTTTGGATCAATCAAGCTTCGGCCAAGAGAGGCAGCCGAGAGGAAAGAAAAACACTGAGAAACTAAAGTTTTTTCGGGATCAGGTTCCCCCTCTCTTTCCTTTCGCTCATTGATCTTACCATTTCAGTTCTCTATTCCTGTTTCAAGTCCACTACTTCTGTTTACGGCTTCCTCCAGTCGTGATTTTTTTTTTTAGTCTGATTTACTTTCATTTGTGTCTCTTTAATGCATAAGTATAGGTTTTGTTTTGCTGGGATTTGTTCCGTGAGGAGGTTAAGCTACAGAAATTGCAGACATTAGCAATAAAAAAATACAGAAAAGTTTCCAACTTTGATTGTTTTTTTCCCCTTCGGCGTGAACAGTTTTAGAGTTAGGTTTTGGTTTAGACTAGAAGCCAAAATGTTGCGGTGAAAGGAAACTAGAAAGGGGAAAGCTATGAAAGCTTAGTGATCCTATTCTGAGGCTCCTTTTGCGTGTTTAGGTGTTAAACTCCAGGACCTTACTACTTAGATTAAAGCTTTGATGTTTAGTTGAGGTCTTTTGTTTAAAGCGTGCGTCTGAATCGGAAGTGTGTGCGGAAATGAAATGGCAGCAGGTTTTGAATTGCAGAAAGCCTCTTCATGGACTGTATGATGTCGTCTTGAAATTCCTTGTACAGATGCCCAGTATCTTGCTTGTTTCATGGTCCAGGTATTAGGATGTTGTTATTGAATGTTTTGGTTTGATGTTTTGAGCAAAGGTTAAGCAGTTCTTCTGTTCTCGTTTCTTGCCTGAATACTCCTTGTTGGGATCACTAATGATAGACTACTATGCTTGGAATTGAAACCAAATTTCTGGTGATGCTGACCAGGGAGCTGCAATGTTAACTGATAGCTCAGTCCATGTCTTGATGCTCCGTTTATGTTGTTAAAATGGGGTGCAGTTCACTCCCTTTTCATAGTCACGCCATAAGATAGGAATGAACAAATAACCGAATGAAGTTGCAAGGGTGTAGACGAATGAAAGAAGGCTGCGAATGAAATCACAGAAACCCATTTTCGTTTTCCTTGCCCTGCGATTCCCATATTATTTTCTTTGTTTGGATTTTCAATGGCTGGGTTATCCATTAGAGTGGGTTTCATAGCAAGATTAACAAAGATGCAAGCTTGTTTTCTTGTGTTATCAATGACTGGTGCATGAATTTGTTAAACTCCAAAGCTCATACGGCAAAAGCTGCTCATCCATATTTGCATCTGCTGACATGTCTTCCATTTTTCTGATACATGTGCGTTTACATTTCTGTTCTTCATGCTCTCCTGTCTCGCATTTGTAGCATCGAAGTTTATCAGTTGGCGAATGATTGTTTTTTCATGATTAGATTCCAGTTTTTTTTTAAGTGCATAAAATACTCGGCTGCATTTTTTTACGTTACTCACCTACTGCTTCTGTGCTTATTCGAATGTGTTTCCTTGTGGTGAACAATGTATTTAAAGCTCATCAAGTGAGAATTTTGGCTTGGGTTTTGGGGTTTTTTGTTAGGATTAGTTGTTGGATTTTTCTTTGAATTTTTGTAAAAATAGCTGTTTGGGTTTGAGCTGCAAAGTTTGCAGCAGCAAAAACTTGCTCGGTTGGAAGCAAAGAAGGCTTTGGTTGGCCGAAACCTCCAGTTGCAGAAATCTTCTTCGTGTGCATGCATGAGAGTCTTTTAGAAATTACATTCCAACCCCTTAAATTTTGTCTAATACCACTACTGCCCAGAAACTTTGAAAATTCAATCAAATTGATCCCTCAAACTTTCTTTTTCCTTTCAATTGGATCCTAATTTAGTTGAATATGGGCTGTTTAGGCGCTAAAGGCTTTTGATTATTCAATTTCGTATTTAGGTGATTATTTGTGATGCCTTGACCTTTTTTTTTATTTTGGAGGGTAAATAAGTGATTTCACTTCATTGGGGCCCAATTGCAAGGGAGGTAACCTCTATCTCCTTGATTTTCATTTCTCCTACGTGTTCCAACGTGCTAAGTGAGAATTGCATGTCTACTTGCTTCCCTTGCCTTTCCTTAATACCTTTCATTTATTTCATTTTGCTTTTGCTTTTATTTAAGTTATTCTTTATGGGGTATGTGTACACCTCTTGGCTTGTAATAGATAGGGCTTGGAGAGCATTTTTATTCATTTTCCCTCTTCCCCATTTGTTTTAGTTAGCAAATGTAATAGTTAGGGCCTTAATTGCCTAATGTGTCTTGCATGCTTAGTTGCTGCGTGTTAATTTGCTTTATTAGGCTCTTGCATTTAGTCGAGCATGCTAAGTGTTATGTGCTACGTGCTTATAGGTGATTGGCATGTCTACTTGCTTTTTATAGTCATAGATGAACGTGATGGATGAATGCACGTCACCACACTAGTCCAACGCTAGTTGTGGCTCATTGTCCCGTTTTCCACTAGTCCAACGCTAGTCGGAATTCATAGATATGGGCTAGTCCAACGCTAGACCCTTATGGATTTCCCTCGCTAGTTCATACTTGCATGTTTCATTACATTTCACGCATTTTTCTTAGTTTTCTAGCATTTGGCATGCTCCTCCAATCCTTTCCCCTTCATTTTAGGCTTTTGCATCTCCATGCTAGTTATAGGGTACATTTGCCTGAGAGTCCCCTTTCGATAAGGGAAACGAGCGAGTGTGGCTACAAAATAGCCTTAGCACGCTAGTTCTTCCTTCTAATCAAAGGAAAAATTGAAGTCATGAAGTTAGGAGTCATTCCCGTACCCGACTTGATGCATTCCTATAGGTTCATACACTTTCATTCTCATCATGTCACTCCCTCACCCTCTTATCCACATTTTCTCACTACTTATATCCTTCTCAATACAAATGCCATGTTCACACATTTTTCTTCTTGTCACTTGTTTTTCTACCTCACAAATTGCACCCAATTGCACTTATATGTATCTACTATCATATTTTCATCCATTTGCACACAAACACCTTTATTTTTCCAATTTGCACACATGCACTTGTCTTACATTCGCACACATGCACGTTTTCTTACATTTTCACACTTGCACTCATATTTGAGTCTTCGTTTGCATCATCCGTGACCTCTAT